GCCTAGATTGGAAAGATGGGCAGTGGTTGGAAAACAAATCCTGTGTGAAAAGTTGGGGATGTCGAAGTTCCGCGCTATGTGGTGTCCAGAATGTTGAAGCCAGAAAGAAGAAGCATCAAGTCCGAGAATAGCTCTGCATGATAAACGCCGATAAAAAGCTTTTATTGTTTGTTAGCTGGGAGAGGGAAATGAAGTATGGTTCCACCACTATGACCAACAAATGAAACAAGGAAGCGGGGTGTGGAAACATTAAGAATCCTCGACCCTATATGTATAGAATCTGGAAATCTGCCTGAGAGTTTTTAAGATGTCAATTTTGGGATAAAAAATTATCACTGTTTAATATTAATAACATGCCTTTTTGATACAATGAGAATAGGCTTTCATTATGCTAACCAGGCCCGCGCCGACAGCTCTACCCAACGAGATGGCTCCTGACCTAAGCTGTCCTGCAGGACAACGAGCAGGATGATGCCATTCCACAGAAGGAAGAAACCACTATCAGCGCACCACAGCGAAGGGCCGGGTGGCGGATCAGATGTGGTAAATTGAACGATAGTTATAAGAAAATGAAAGTTTATGTTATTAAGTCTATTGTGCCTTGTGCAGTAGGTGCTTCGTCCAATTAGAAAAAGAAAAATGATTTGGGATGAAAACGATGTCTTGAAGGGAAAATGTAAAAAGCATTGATATGAAAGTTGGTCATGGTTACTGGAAATTCGGACTTTGAGAATTTTGATTTAAAGAACTAGCATACACACAATAATAATCACGTTGATATAAAATACGTGTCAAGATGCAGAGAAACACTTCACACACAAGATACAATTTATTGCGTCAAGAAACGGGAAAAAATCACATTTGCCACAGAGATAAAAGAAGCACATCCCTCCACTACGACGGCTATGAGCTCACTGGCCCTCGCCGACAATAGGTGGAAGGTCGTGCGAAGCACGACGGCGCCGATTCGAAAAGGCGCCGGGCAATCATTAAAACAAGCAGTTCGTATTGCTGCCTGTCTGAACAGGAAAATTCTTGTCTTATTTGAACACCCCTCCAGGGGGGTCGACTCAGGTAAAACCTGGGAAGCTACTGATTAGGTTCTGTACCTAGGCAGTATCGACCACTGGTGTTTAAAATCAGTCTCCACAGGACTAGAGTCATCGCTGGTGATGGCTGTTTCAGGTATGTAGGTACTGTATTGTCTGTTCCATTGGTTGTAGTGGAGCAATATAGTCAGATATACATGTTGTCCAGAGTGTAACACCCCCATTGATGGAGTTGACGAACTCAGCGAGCCTTTAAACTGCTTGAGGTTTCCAGTGCGACTGGGGCCTCAAAACTGCATATTCATATCCTTCCTTGGTTTCCCCCCTGGGGGGGCGCCTAAAACCGACATCTGTACGCAATGACTTAGTGTTAGCAGGCCGGATTTGTGGCACGGTCTGTCTGACAGTGTTTAAGTGACTTCATTCTGCTGTCCGGGGTTGGGGCCCCTGTTGAAAGCAGATATTTTTACCATCCTTCCAGAACAGAGACATGGAATGTGAGTTGCTGAGTAGTCCTGTCGACTCAGCTTAGTCTTAGCTCGTCTACTGGACCGATAGGTTAGCAGCTTCTTGGATTGCCTTTAGGAGTTGGGGCGTTTAACTGTGTTAGGGCAGCCTCGAGTTTGCCAGCCTGGAGTGCCCCTTCCGCCTAGCACACTGTCTTATTCGACCGAAAGTTTAGAGCACCAGAGCAGGAGTTCGTCTCTGGTTGTTCTCTTCTGTCTTATTTGAACGTGCAAATACTTCATGCGTATGTAAGGGTAGACGCATTCGACAAATTGCTTAATCCTTATTTTGTGTCTACTGTTGCAAACGTAGTAATTTGTGCAATATTTATCTTTTTTGTGATTGCTTGTTGTTATTGTTTTTCTACATAAAAAAAGGTAAGTGTAGTTACATATTATGTTAAATTTAGGTCAACTTTTTAACGCGAAGCAAAGATTTGAGCATAATTACTCGAAAACTGTTTAGCTCTCAAGTTTGAACCATTGTCGTATTCTTGGCCTCAAAAATTACTAATATCTAAACCATTTTCCTCTAAAGTCTTTTAATAAGCCGACATTTAATAATAAAGTTGTTCATCTTCCACTGGTCGTATCTGTTGTAACACAAAATACAAAATACTAAACCTTGATACTTGTGTGATTATGCAGGTTATCTACTGCAATAGCAGTACTTACCTGCTCACATGAATGAGCTCCGCAATGGGCATGGTGATGAGAAGTTACATGAAGTAGTTCTCCAAACGAGAATTAAAATACTAAAAACCTTTCTTCAATACTCATGTCTGTATTTTCTAAATTAAAATACTTCATACAAATTAATACTATTTGCTCTTGATGGCTGGCATCAGGGGTACAATCAAGTAAAGTAGAAAAATGTTTTGCCTGTTTGACCTTATTTAAAATAATTTGCTTTGTATTATTCCCTAATAAGCTAATTATTTTATTTTGGTAATGAAGCATATGTTTTTAGTTAGCAATATATACAGACATGATAGGGTCAAATAGTGATCATTTCCATACACTTTAAAAAATTATTATTTCTTTCGAATAATTTGTTACTGGAACCACGGGAAGGCTAAATATTGTTTGCCTAAAAACTGAATGGCATAGATAATTCTTTCAATAACATTACGCCAATGCTTAGTCTCTGTTTTTAATAAAATTTGAAATTCCGAATTAACAGGTTTATTCTTTCGTAATCGTTCTAAGAAATAGGAGTAACTCTTTCGTTGTCTGGCAAGATTCGACATGAGTACGTCTAAAAAAAATTACGTCCATTTTTGTCTTTTGGGAAACTCAAACTCGAAACCAAGTTTTGTTAACATCCAAGATTATTTTCTATTAAGGCTTAAACTTGAGGTGGCAGTAATGAACTTGGGCATAATCCGGAATCATCAGGCACAAGCAAATGCGTTATCTATTGCAGAAGTTGTAGATTTCAATAGTATTTCTTCTGTTTTTTTGACCAGCTGCATTGAAGTTAAAGGTAATTCTCAGGTGAATATGCTTTCTAAACTCTTTCTAATTATTAAGTTGATTTTGGTAATTTCAATGGTAGCCGAGACGTTGATTGATAACTAGTGCTAGTAGTGCCAGCTTGGGTATTCTTCGGATTTTGGAAAAACTCAATAATTTTATAGTTCTGGTTTATTAAGTCTTCCTCTCACTTTTTTTTTTTTTTTTCCTTATTACATTCTGATACTCAAACAGTTTTTTTTCCGTTTTCCTTCCGACATGTAGGGAAAACGAAAACAGAAAAAGTGGAAGTAAAAATAAAAGCAGAAAATAACTATTATAAGAACTATTGTGTAAAACACTTCTTGGAAAATATTTGGAAAGTCACTGTTTGAAATAATTTACCTTACTTCTGAAAAAGTGAGTATATCTTAAACCATTGCTTGGAAATTATAGGAATTATTAGATCAATACCAAATAATTCAAGAAGGGGATGTACTCTTTTGTTTATTAAAGTAAATAAATCAAATTTAAAGGCGTAATGAAAATAACGAAACATTTTCCTTCGGTTTTCCGTATAGCTAAAAATCGGAAAATGGCTAATTTTTGATTTCAGAATATGTTGAATATTTTTACTTGACTCCAAATCTCAAATAGGTATATTTTAAATTCAGTGGTACTCCATAAATATGTCAATCCTTTCTTCTCGAAGGATAATATTTTTTAGTTTAATCAACAAATGGTTGATGAAAAAAAAAAAAAAAATCGAGTAATTATGCTCAAATCGCCGCTTTTCTGAATTACATAGCTAACCTAAGTTTAAAATAATATGTAACTGCACGTACCTTTTTTTTACGTAGAATAACAATAACAGCAAGCAATCACCTCTCCCCCCCCCCAAAAAAAAATCACAAAAAAGATAAATGTTGCCCAAATTACTACGATTGCAACAGTAGAACAAAATAAGGACTAAGCAATTTGTCGAACGCGTCTACGGCGCCCCCTATCTCCTTACATATGCTTCGGCATCATGTATTTTGGTTCACATATATTTTACAAGATAAGCTCAACTTATGTCAAAAAGTACAAAAAGCATTAACTGATAAAAATCAAAGTGATATAAATAGTATAGATCTTATGCAGGAACTGCAGTTTTTGCAAACTTTTGGAGGAAATGTAGCATCGCCAGTCGAAACTCTAAGCTGTATCGTTGTCAACAACATAGCGGTGTGCAGAAAAGAATTTTGGATAGGTATCAGTGCTGGAGCATTTTTTGTGCCCTGTTGTAATCACAGTTTGCACCTTGTCGTAAACTACGCTGCGAACAACAATTTATTCAGTGCAAACTTATTAGATATGTATATTAATTTGTTTTTAATTTAAGATAATAAATAGTGTTCAGCAATATTTGGTATGCAATGCGTTTAGTATATTATTTCGTTTCGCTTGCAGTGTTACTTTTTTATAACATGTTGTTGTTGACTAATGCTCACTTGTCTGGCCTATAGTCAGCTGAAGCCCACGAAGTTCCTCGTGGCAAGGAGCGCAAGATACGCCACGCGTGCCGTTGGCAACAGCTTTGAGCACTTTACAGGCGACAGTGCAATTTAGCTCAGTTTCGCCCCTAATTTTGATGGAGAGCACCTGGGGGAACGGGTCCGAGCGTCTCGAACCCTCCTTCCCCTACCACCAACCTTTCAAGAGGACTTTCGCCTCACTTATTTAGAGTGCCCCCATGCCGCACAGGCACTGTACATTTACAAACATCCATAACTTCTCCGGGATTCGAACCCGAGGCCTTTGCACGGCAGTCAGCAACTCTAACCACTTTACCGGTTGGGCGGCCTTTTATAACATAAATGAATGTATAATTATTCAATGAATATGTTTGAGTGCGGTTTTTAACAAAGCACAAAATATTTGCATATTTAGACAAATGGTAATATATATATATATTATTTTTGTTTTTTCATATTATTATGTTAATTTCATTTTAAATGTTAATCATAAGCACCGTCCCTTTAATATCGTCACTACATAAAGGCGCTCGCTAGACATTTGCACGACGGCGCCGATTAGGCTTGGCGCGGGCCTGATGCTAACCTGCTGCAATAAGACATAAATGCGGCTCAGAATTCCCAAACTGCTATTTCCCCCAATGATGCGGATTTCAGTTTCTCCTCATGTATCGTATTAGTCCTAGACTTCTTTTTGTTTCACAAGCTGTAGTATTAGCGTTTTTTACGTTACGGCGACGATAATATGCGGAAGTACTTCATTGACATACTCTGGATAGAAATATTTTTAAACCTATGTATGTTGTCATTAAATATAAATGCATGTGTAGTTTCTCATTATGCATAACATTGATAGTATTTTTTTTTTTTTTTTTCATTTTATTGAATGCTTAAAGTTCAAATATACATTTTGTTGCAGCAATGATACAGCTACTTCTTGAAAACGGGAGCAGGTCCATTCTGAATAAATGTGACGGGTTTGGAAGAACGCCGCTGCGCATAGCATGCTCTCAAAGTTCACCAGAAGTTGTCCAATACTTGCTTGAGAATGGTGCTGACATACAAAATGAAGGTTGTCTTCTATTAACTGCATTGAATCACAAATGTAGGAGTTATATACACAGAATAATATCTATGCTTCTAGATTATGGAGCGGATGTAAGTAATAAATGTAGTCAAATATATTTATAAATATATTTTCTCAAATTATAGTTTACATTATAAGAATCACATCATATTCAGAACAAAAGTTGGTTATTTTCTTCGTTTGCTTGAATGCATCCCCAGTTTTATTATTGAAATATAGATTCTGCTTTTAAAGCAAAAAAATTATGGTTTGCAGTTTTGGGTAAAATAAATTAATTAATTAACATATGAACTAATTAAAGTAATTCTGAGTAATCAGTATATAGATTTTCTTAATGTAAGGTGTACAATGTGGTTTAGCTTTAAGAGAGCGACCTCATACGACCATTATGCTGTCACTTACAATGCAAGGATCATGCTGAACTAATTCATTATCACCTTGACAACGCTGCTTACATTTATATTGCTGGATTTTTAGTGACCTTATCTGAGTCTTGCCGCAGTATTTATGAAATTTTATTTCTTCAGGCATCCATTACCAGATAGGAATACCCTTAATGGCCAGACAGGAAACACTGCTATTAGTACTCCGAATATTAATAGTTCGACCACTAATAGCTCGATAATTCGAATAGTGAATATAATAGTTTGACCTGGTTTCAAACAGTTACAGGTGAAAACATTGCGGATGAAAACGTCACGCAGAAAACAATGCAAGGCGAAAACCGTCGTCGTATAAAATATTGTGGGAGAAAAGGAAACAAGAAGAAAACATCATGCATAAAACTTCATCAACGAATATATTAATTGCTTGCACGATTTCTTTACCTCACCAAACCAATTGCATGCTAAATCATTTTCTTCTGTTTCCACTTCACAGGGAAAAAAAATTACTTTTTCATTTTCATATGAGTATTTTATTGCATGCATAAACTAAAGCTTTCTGCTTTAAATACATTGATTCAAAAAGGCATATTTTTATAAATTTTTTGCATAAACACTGAAGCTCAAATTTTTTTTAAATTATTTTGGCAGATTAGAACGTGTCTCTGGAAAATTTGTAAATCACTTTTAATGAAGTGACTAATTTCTAAATACTAAAGACTAAAAGAATATCAAACTAATAAAGTGAAAAAAATAATTTTTCTATTTGATAATTAATGTAAACAATTTTAATATGCTTATACTTCGTGCAGTTACTCGTTTTCCCTTTACTAATCGTTTTAAGGACTATATTTTTAATGAAAAATTTCCAGTACAACTTGATAGAAGAGACTAGCTAAATAGTGACTTTTTTAACAGTTAACTACATAAGTTTAAACTTCTATTAACTACTTTTCGTAGCATAAATTTTTTGCCCATTTTCAGTTGGCGAAATGCTTAAGTTTCCTTCTTGCATTTTAGCAAAAAAAAAATGGTGATTAATTCAAAAATAGAAAACGCAGAGGTAAAGATATTCCTTACTCCCTCTTGAGCTCACAAATCTTTATGCAAATATACATTTACAACTTTTAAAGCTTATGTCTGACCTAAAAAACTAATGTCAGGTATGTTCTCATTATTTTTTTCCCCAATGACACAAACCGTCCTACTACTAAGGCCAAAAGCGGTGGTCTTTTTATTATGGAGGCACCTAAGAGGTGGGCCACCTCCGCCTCCTATGAAAGGACGAATATACATACGCCCATCGATTCGAACCCGGGCCCTTTGGTATTTCAGTTGGCTTCCCTAGCCACTATACCGTCTAGGCGTCTGATGTTATCATTATATGATGATTTGTAGGTGCTTTCCCATAATCGAAAATTTGGATGTTGATTCCTTAACTATGACTTTTTACCACAATATTTTCTACTATTATGTTTAAAATTGATACGTTTTTAAACTGTTTAAAGCTGCGATGCTTCTTGCTGTTTTTTTGTCTCACGTAGACGACGTTTTCGCCTTGCGTTTTTTCCTTCTAGATGTGTTCATCTGCGATGTTTTTGTCATGATGATGTTTCCGGTAGGCGCCGCTTCAAATAGCGATAAAATAGCCTAGCATTTAAATACTTTATTGATTTTTGCCATGTAGCTCACGCAACCAAGGGAATCCGTTTCCCTTAGAAAGTCTTTCATGAAAGCATGCGAAAACTATCTCCACGCAAACCGGCAAATAATCTTCTGTGATTTTACTTAGTTAAACCAACGCTTTGTTTGGAGAAAACTTGAAATGAAGATAAAAGTTTGGTTCTTTGAAGTGCCACATTTCTTTGTATTTATTTTTAAGGATTTTCTGAGATACTGTAGCTACGTTTTAAGGTTTTTAATTAAATGTTTTTAAATAAATTTTTAGTTTAAATCATTTATAATTTGAACTGTCTATGTGCGTTTGTCATGAAACACAATGAAAATGTGGAATTAAATTAGAAAAGTTATGCAGAAAATCCTGGAATATATTGAATGCTATTTTAATAGTAAATAAATATGTAGAGTCATTAAGTTAATTTTTGAAGGAGAAGACATAAAAAATGAGCAATGGCCTCGTTGAGACTCGAATCTGGACCTCTCGAATACGCGCCACATATGTTACCGTTACACCAGGAAGGCATGCTGGAAGAAGGGAGAAAATACCTTATATACTTCCCCTTTTAAAGGGTGAGTGAGGATTAGGGAACCCAGTCTTCAAATTCTGGTTGTGACGAATTATTGTCTACCACCTTTTAGTTCGGGCGCCACTTGTAGAGTCATTAGGTTTCTTCGATGCTGGAGACATGAAAAATGAGCAACGCCTTCGCCGGGACACGAATCTGGACTTCTCGAATACTTGCGAAGTTTGTTACTGTTACACCAAGAAGGCACACGGAAATTAGAGAGAAAATACCTTATATATATTGATATAGTAACAGAAGTTCATACTTAGGTTTCAGTTATTAATTTCTCCATAGAAACTTCATCTTGTAATTTATGAACTATTTAACAGACTCAGATGAATAAATTATTAATGAGTACAAAATATCAATATATTTGTTTGAAAACAGTATAAATGAAATTTAATCAGGTGGATGATGTTGCAACTTTTGATCTTTTTTCGTATTCTTATTATTTACATTTAACAACATCGATAAGTGAATTTTTGCTTACCTTTCTTGATAAATATCCACAGGAACGCTTGGAATTCCTTTTCAATTTTTATCACACAGAAGCTTTATTTACAGCTATGTACAACAATTGTATGCTTACATTAGAACGTTCAACATGTTTTTCGGGTTGCCACTACATCTATCTCAAAAATCCGCAATGCGGTAAGAAAAATATAACAAGCTTTAAAGTAAAAAACGCTGCGCCTTCTCGTGGCCAACTACATAAACTGTAACAGATGATGCTTGATAAATATTTAATATTCACTCAGTTTCAGAAAATTTCTAGTTCTGAAATCGAGCTTTCATTTTGTAATTACGCATAATAATTAAAAACAGGAAAAATTTGATCCTATACTGATAAAGAATATAACTTAAAAATTTTATACATTTCATAGAAATCGGAAAGGGTCGCTCTTTAACAAGCTGCAAAGGTAGTGCGAATTTTCTACAGAAACATGTATCAATTTCCGAACACATTTTCTCCTGCAAAAAGAGGATCTCACGTAAATCTACCTCAAAAACCTAATGGAAATCTGAGACAGCTTTCCTGAAAAATTCCTCCCTCGCGGATAGTTCTAGTCTGCTTTGCGTTCACTAAAATAAACCATCCAAATCTTCCTTGAGGTACGCAACGTTTTTCAGCAAACCTTTTTTACCTTTTTTTAAATTTCATTTTGACTAGCTTCACTTCCATAAGTTGTTCTACCAAAATGTAATCATTTATTATTTGCTCTAAGTAGCTCATTCATTTCCGTTACAATGTTTATATCTGCTTGGAATTTAAAAAAATATATATATATACATTCATTTACCTCTTCAATACCATTTGCTGTTGAGTTTCAAAAAAGGCTGTTTCTGCCTGCCTTAAAAATATAATTTCAAAAGAATGATAGTTTTCTTTCCTATGAATATTTTAAGGAATATGAGCTGCATAATCGCCCGAATTGGCGATGTGCTTGGATAAGCTGCACGTGATAGGGATGCATTTTTTTTTTTTTTTTTTTTGCTGAGAAGCCTCCAGATACCGGAATGGAAAACTCCGACTGCGTGCACTTATGGAGGTAGGAAGTAAGGTGTAGTGAACGCAATGGAGGTAGAAACCTTTCCTACCTCCATGCGTGCACTACACTTTGCGTACTTAAACGTGGAGTTCCCTGTACCTGATTTAGGACATTCTGTTTGATGTCTGGAGTCTATGCTGATCGTGCCCGATTCATGACAGCTCTTAGAAAGGAACCTGTTTCAGCTAACCTCCTGTGCAGCATTGCAAACAAATTATGGCTAGGTGTACACCTCATAGCCTGTCGTTCCGCGTACAAGCGCTGTGTGGCTGGCCCACTACAGTTTGTAGCACATATACCAAATGCATATTGGCTAACTTCCCATTTGTATAATTATTCATTCTACTAACTCTCTGTCCTGGTGCGAAATGACGATTCCCTGCAAGAACTCCTGCGGAACTTCTACAGCGTCAAAAAAGCATTTCAGACCCTGCATTGGTATATGATTCAGAGTCGTTGAGGCAAAGAATAGACGTTCTTTGGCTCTACCCTTCCTAGAAGTTCTGAAACGTGGTACTGAGACCCCCTGTGTACATATGGAATAGAAATATTTAATAAACTATAACAACTTATACGAAATACTATTTCAAACGATACTTGATGATACAGTACAAAGTCTGTAATCCGGACCTCAAAGCTACAAACTTTATACGCATGCGCGTTTAATGTATAACCCACGTATAAGCTAGGCTAAAATTATCTAAGGCATTTCAGTTAATGTTGCAGATTGCGCTGTTCTTTAATCTTCTAATTGGATCCGGCTTATTATTTTTTGCAGACTGTTAGAACAATTTTATAAAAATTAAGCTTGAACTTTCGATTATGCCAAAAAGAGTTTCCAATTCTGGAGCTGCAAGAGGATCTACAAAGCGAAAACATGTTTCGATGTCCATTAAACAAAAAGTGGAATTGCTGCAAAAAATGGATAAAGGCTTATCCGTCTCAAAATTATGTGAGAAGTATGGCATTGGAAAGTCCACTATATATGACACAAGAAAAAGGAACTTTTTGAATTTTTTGTGGAAGCAATCTTAAACAACTTACATTGAAAGATATGTTTAATAAAGTAAACAAATAAATATTAAGCTTTTTTTGTAAATTTTGATACCCTTTAGATCATAATTGTTTTTTATTTCATAAATTACGATTTCATATTTTTAATTGTATAATTTCTCCATGCCATCTTACCAGATTTAAATTGATGATCTATTATCCGGAAAACCCCCTAATCCATAATCGCTGAAGTCCCGACGAGTCCGGATTACGGACTTTGTACTGTATTTATTTATGTAAAGATTTTTTAGATTTAAAACATTTCTTCAAAACGGACATACTTGCTGAAAAGTATATGAAACTTTATGATTCATCGCATAGTTTTTTCTCTTTTATTGCTTTTGTTTTTGTTAAAGTATTTTAGTTAGCATTTAATACTAAAACTGGTTTTATTTTTTAGGTGAACCAGTGTTCAAGTCGCGGAACGACCCCTCTGTTGATGGCGGTGGAACGTGCTTCCTATACGAAAGAATCCTCTTTTTTTTATGTATGTGAACTAATTAAGGAAGAAAGGAGCGGATGTGAACGTAACCAACTCAAATGGACAATCCCCTCTTCACATGGCGGTAATTTCGAATCAAGAAAATTTGGTCAAAATGCTTCTTGATTGGAAATAACTACATCGACATCCGTGATCACAGGGGATTTGTCGCATTGTTTTATGCCTGTCGGAATGGTAATCTAAATCTGGCAGAGTTGCTAATAGATTGTGCAAACCTTCACGCTCACAGCTGGGAGGATTGCATCATTATCTATGGCAATGTAAACAATGCTTCAGTTTTTAAAACAATGTCCAGAAAATCAAAGAATTGCGTTCAACTAAATAAATTATGTTTGAACGCAATTCGGAAGAACATTCAAAATATTAAAGGCATCAGCAGTTTGCCGTTGCCTATATACTTAGTCAATAAAATCATGTTTAAATAACATGATTAACGCCTTTAACTTTTGAAGCATTATTTAATTTAATCGTTGAAAGAAGGTATCTAATTCTTACCTCTTACATTATGTGGTGATGAATTTGGTCAAAAACTAATTCTTGATTGGATATAACTACATCGACACCCGTGATCACAGGGGATATGTCGCCATATTTTTTAAGCTATTTTAAGCATTTTTATGTCTATTCCATATTTTTTAAGCTTTCATCAATATCTAACTTTTCATTTACGCTGCAGTAGTCGTTGTAGAGGGGAGTCACGCCAACTTTTAATTCCTTGACTTTCTGTAATTTCACTTCTAATTCAACTGAACTTCCTTCGGATTCCTTGAAGTTATTCAAGAACGTCTCCAGTTTTGTAATTTTGCATTTTATCACACCTCTATGGCGATTTAGTTCCGTTAAATTATCCATTGTATTTTTGCCGCTTTGAATGGGCATTTAGTTTTGCCGCTTTGATTGGGGTCTTATTTTAGCCACTTTGAATGGGCACTTATCTTCGTCCGAGACGGACCACTGTTTATGGACTGTATTCCACTAAGAGATAATTGTATTTTCCCCCTAAGTATGTACAAAAAATGCCGCTAGAGGGCTGAGGTGCGTAGGTGTAGCTAATGATGTAACACGTTAGATTTGGAAATTTTATGTTTAAATATTAAAAAAAAATTTTTTTTTTAATTGTCCCTTGGAACACTGAACATTCTGCAGCTGCTACTTGCTTAAATTATAAATACACTTCAGCTCTGTCATAGCATTGCTTTTCTTTTTGCTAATAAGAAATATTATCTTCAGTTACTGTATAAGATATTGCAGAGTATAATAAAACTTGTAATTTATAAAATATTAATGAAATGATATTTTTGGGAATAAAGTGCAATTTTCTTTTTGTTCACAACTACCGTTCCATTAATGGAGCGCTAGGCATAATTGGGTTTTAACGTATTACCAGAAAAATATTTTAGGTAGTTTTTCACTTTTGCCCCTGTTGATATTAATATACTAAAATATATGGAATAACGAAGTTGCACCTAGTCAGGAAAACAAAACATTGCGAAAATTATTATACGATAAATTTTTAATCAAATGTAATTACTTATTTTGGAATTATAAAATTTTCATACGCAATTAATACCATGTCACTGTTTCAATTAATTATTGCTGGTTATATAAAAAATACTGGTTATAAATAAAATGGTCAATTAAAGGCTTAATTTATTGGATTCACAATCACAAACACTATTGTTAGATCTAGATTTAGAATAAATATTTTGCACTATATTCAATGCAGAAAGTGCTTGTACTTGCTAGATACTCGTTCTAGTACAATGATATCTTGCTAGATACCTTGCCGTTAGACCAAAGAATATCTATAGAATACATATTCTTTGATTAAGTTGTAAGATTCTCACTAGTGTAATTCTCAGTTACTGTAGAAAGTGACGAATCTTAAGAACTAGTTTGCGAATAATCGCTTAAGTTCGTGTGACAAGAAACAAGAAGATGGAAGGGTAACTAACCCTTTATTATTCCAATAAGATTTAACAAAACTCCTTCTTGGAGTGTACAATAAAAGCTGACACTTGGGCTTGAACTTAAGAGACTAAGAAATAAACTAAAACTAAGATTAACTAAAGAAATATACCTGAACCTATCAAGATTCTAATCGAGTTGGCCCCTTAACTCTATTTGACTACGAAGCTTATCAAGGGCCTGAGAACGGCCGAGCGTAATGACAGTTTTGAGAAAGAGAGAGAGAGAGTAGACACAAGGGAGACGCGCGCTAATCAGAAACTCTGATTCTCTCTCACTCTGCATGCTTTAATGCTGAATGCTTATGCTTTACTAGCCAAGAAAGCTTGGCTGTCGAAAGCTCTGCTGATGTAACGCCCTGAGGGCACTTCACATGGAAGCAATCATATGAATTCCCGCAATGGGAAGATGCAATGAAGGAGAAAAAGAAGGGGAAAAGGGGACCATCGTCCCTGTAGGAGTCACAAATAGATCTGACATATGGGAGTAGGTAAATTAGTGAGGGAGGCAGTCAAGATGAAAATGTGTAATGTGAAATTCTAGAACGGTCGGAAAACTCAGTAACGTATGAACAGATACATGAAAAGTATATACAAGAATCTGTTACAGACAATGTATACTACAAATAAACGAATGCAAGCTCATGCATTCAAGAAGGCATGCCAATTATGCGTGTCTCCCTCTGCAAGTAGATTTCGCGGTTTAAATACCGCTCCTCCTCTTTAAGTATTCAGAATGATTCCAAATCTACGTTCTGACCGGAAGTAGTAAGTTAAGAATTTGACAGGAAAGGAACTTAAAATTTAACTGTTAATAAAATTAACATAATCCTAACAAAGTATAGAGAATAGAATACATATTATGAGCATTGACATTTACTAGTAGCAAGGGCTAAACGTTAAAATACTTGATCAATATATATAATATAATAGTGTAAAGTGCTTAAGAATAATACATAAAATTATAAAATGAATAACAATATTTCAAACAGTAACTACGACAGTTTACTTACCGCTCAGGAACATTACGAACACGCAGGCAGCCATGTATATCTGCTACTATCTTTAAAACAATTATCGTTGTCTTCTCCTGATTGGCTGAGATATCCCCCCCCCGACCTCCAATCAGTCACCTGATTCATGAGCGCGAAACTGAAACCTTAGTCTTTGCTTAAAAGTGTTGTTATATAGAAAAATTTTAATTGGTGTTTAAATACCTTTAATCTTTGCTGCAATGTGCCGGACAAAATTAACAAAAAAAAAAAAAAATCAAATATCAAATAATTCAAAACATTCAAAATCTATTTCATAATATTCATATATCATTTCGACATTCTTAAAAATATTCGTATAGTAAATCTATCAATCAATCGTATATCATATCTATCAATAAATCGTATAGTGGTATAGTACAATTTAACTTTTTAGGTTTGCGTTGTGAGTAACCTATGTAAAGGGAAAATCAATAACTCCCAATTCAATTAAACTCCATGTTTCTTAAAAGCCTCCCGGCTCAAACAAATGGAGGGACATGACAGACCACAGTAAATTATACGCAGCACATAATACACAAATGCCATTAAATTTTAAACAACATTATTTTAAATTCTTGACTATTTTATAATTAATAATGGATAACTGATCAGTATCCTACCAATATTTTTTTTTTTAATTCAAAAATAACACATAATACTACACCAAATTACAGCTTACATTAATTAAGATTAACATTGTTTTTTTTTTTCAAATTAATTAGGTGTAACAAAATTTTAATCCTCCAAATAACAGGTTCTTATTAATTAGAAGTGACGTTTTTCTAGCTCACAAACTTCAGTAGGTGAAACAAATTTTAATCTTCCCAAAACTGGCATTCACTTGACTTGAATTATATATAACTTCTCAATTTTTTAACTGTAATATTTATTTACTTTAATATATAGCAATACAATGTACTGGTAGATAAATCACTATTAACTGTTCTGCATTTTCGGGAAAACTAAGAGAGACAGAGAATATACTTAAAATTTTCACTCACAGATGGAAAACAGTTTTTTCTTGATTAGGATCCTTAGTGTCCAATCCACATGGAAATAAGCCAAGCCCTATTTTCTTGGAAATTACAGTCTAATAATTCTTCAAACAGCCAGGCATCGCTTTAACTGTCCATTAGGTGGGAACCAATAGTCCAATTCAGAAGGATATTTTTCAATTCAATAACAGGTAGCTGAATATACACCAGTTTTTTTTTAGCACAATCACGTGCATCATCGAAGCCTCGTGGCAACATTTATGCTGAATGTTTCGGAAAAGGCTCTTGGAGATTAACCGGCGATTCAGGTGAAGAGAGAGAATCTGTGCTAAATTTTCTTGGTAGATTTTTCTCTATACATCTCAATCAGCTCTCAGTAAAAATGCTCTTTGCAGCTCGCGCACATTTCTTTAGACATTCTCGCATACAAATGTCTCTTGCATCTCGCACAAAACTTTTAAACATCCCGCAGAAAAAATGAATTCCACTAGAGCAAAGAAAAACGCAACCCAGTCCTCTTGCCTCGGCAACCGGCCGCAGCAGGCCGCAAAAAAACGCCCCTCGTTCGCCTTTTTTTTTTTTTCACATCGCGGCTGCTCAAAATTCACTCAAATCAGACTCCGCTACAACCGTCATCCGCAGCACCGCTGGTACAAATCGCTCGCCCCGCAAAACTTTCTGCTTTCTCCTTTTCCTTTTCGCTCAAAAAAATCATAATCAGAATCCACTCTAGCCAAAGAATCTCTAAGGAAAAGATGAAAGCTTCCATAGACGCAATGTAAAACCTGTTTCGCCTCTGCGCCGCTATATCGAGGAGCCACGGCTATGCAGTGAAATAGCAGCGCAGGGTGGAATTTAAATAGCGCAGTGCCGAGGAGATAGTAATTTTTTTTTTTTACTTTGAAAGTTCCTCAAAATGTTTTATTTTCATACATTTCAGATAAATTGCGTAGCTGATCTTTTATCTTCTAATCTTTAATCGTCTAGATGTTTCGCATAGAACATCCTAAAATTCAATTGCAAAATAAATGAAAAAGAAGATGAATAAATAAATAAATTTTATTATTTTTATATTCCTTATTTTTCCCCCTAACCCTTCTTTCTGTAAACTCACATAATTGTTATTCTTTTTGATATAATATCAAGCATTAATTTATAACTAACATCAGAATTAATAGAAAACAAATTAACTACTGTCGTGTTTGTTAGATTTCTAACAAATCTGCAGTTAATTACATAAATAACGCTACTTTTAAAAAATATGCAATTAATTACATATAACGCTATTTTTTAAAAATAGCGTTATTTATGTAATTGCATCAAAATGTAAATCTTTTCATATTTTTTAAAATGTAAATCTTTTCATATCAAGCATATTATTAAATATTAAAACAAAGAATAACACATTTGAGTTAAAAAAATGATTTTTATTGACATTTCTCAAGTTTCAGAATATACATATGCAAATAATTTTAAGCATCTTCACAAATACCAAGAAATTTTTAGACAATTATTTGGAACGACCATTATGAAACAATGAGCAAATTTTTGCAGCCAAGAACCAAAAGGCATTTCACTTAAATTAACAAATACAAATTACACTTAAAAGGCCTTTTGAAGAATTTCACATAAATTATTAAAAAGTGGATTTCATTATTTTTTCATAAAATATTCAATACTTCTTACATTTATTAATATAAGATTAAATACTGAACTTGAAAATCAAACCTTCCAGGTGTTATTAAACCTGGGAAGAAATTTCTAAATAATCCACTGAATCAAATAAATATTGTTGCAGCTCATCCTGATGAAGATTAGTTCAAATTATGAAATTAGAAATTGATTTTTTTAAATAGCAATTATAAAAATGACTATTTTCCATCTTCACTATACATATAATAATTCTAAAAATGATGTGTAGCTTGGATTTTACATAATTTTAATTTTGCAAAAATCTATTTAATACCAAATTATTCGACCAATGAGTACATTTCATTCTGTAAGCTTAAAAAAAAAAACAACAAACATACAATTCATAATAAATTTTTATAACTCCATATTTAAAATTTTACAAGCAAAGTTTGCATATAACTAACCAAAACAGAAAAAATAATTAAAAAACAATTACAAGTACCCCTAAATAAATTGAAAACGCTGAATTCATTATAGTTATCTGACCTCAAATTTAAGAAAAAAAAATTATTATTTGGAATGACCATTATGAAAAAAGAGCAAAGTTTGCAACCAAGAGCCAAAAGCATTTCACTTAAATTAACAAACACAAGATTACATTTAAAAGTCTTGAAGTTTTGCAAATAATCACTTGAATCAAATAAATATTGCAGCTCATCCTGATAAAGATTGTTTCAAATTATGAAATTAGAAATTAATTCTTTTAAATAGCAATTACAAGAAATGCCTATTTTCCACCTTCACTATACCTATAATAATTCTAAAAATGCTGTATGCTTGGATTTTACATAATTTTAATTTGCCAAAAATCTCTTTAATCCAGAATTATTCCACCAATGAGTACATTCAATTTCTGTAAGCTTAAAAAGAAAAAAAAAA